ATGGGGCGTAGCTCTAAGGCCAAGGGCCCTAGTTCGAAATAAAAATGGCAGCGGCGAGCAAGGAATGACACCACAGGCTCCTCGAGGCTTCTGGGGGGAACCCTCTCGGGCCTCTTACATTCCTGGGGAGTGAGCTTGATTCACACTCCCCTTAGTCGCCGTCGGCGCAGACCCTGTCGGGCGCCTAAGCGGGGACTATAACAAGTCACTCGCAAGAAACAGGGAGATGATTATCGATATCATCTATAGCAAGCACACGGCTTGCACGGCATACGAACGATGGCAAGAGTCCGATCACGAAGCGACAAAACCTAAACATGTTGCCATCTTCTCGAGATAAGATTTAAATGCTGAATGGGTGTGGCCGTCATCACATCAAAAAAACTATGCGCACTGAGTGAATGCAGCTTCCCAAAAGAACGCGGATTACTTGTGGATCTTTGGCCGGGAATAGAATCTGAGCGGCGATGCAGAACGCATAAATCTTTACCGGGCGTAAAATCTGAACAAACAGTGCGGAAAACATACAAGATTGCCGGTCCGATCGGCCAACCTGCCGTCCGAAAACCAAGCGGGGTTCACTTTTCTTTCTTGGGTTTCGCCGGCTTGTCCGTCAGGTCGGATCCTCGCCACATGCCTCTGCCTGTGAACTTCCATCAGCGGCCCTTGAGATCGTTCATCACACTCTCCGGGAAAATCGTGAAATCGGGATTGCCGAAATGATAATGTCGAAACAGCCACGAAGCGTGCTTCTTGCAGGTCTTGCAAGTGATCTAAACACTGTGCGGGTTGTGGCCAATGGCAATATCATGATGGGGAATGCCTGTCACACAACTCAGCATGTCATTCGGCTGCACCGTCGGTGAGGAGCCGCTCCATGATACAACGCTGGCTGATGAGGCTGACACGGAACTCGATGAACTCGTCACAGACACAACGGTTGGTGATGCGGTGGCCGAACTTCCCCGCGACTTTGCTGATCTTGATCGTCCAGATCCCCGTGCTGATGATGCGGCATATGGTGATGGCGGTGGCGGTGCGACGGCAGGTCGCGGTTATTTCGGTCGGCGCCTGCGGCGGCGGCGGCTGCTGAACCGTAGCCGGTGCCACTGAACTCGATGCCTGTGCGCTGCTGAACACGTCCGCGTGGGACATCGCGATGTTACCATCGTGATCACGATGATCACGATTCTCTAGAATAGTAGGTGTTATGTTGCGGCGCCGGCCGAGCATGCGGCCGTCCCAGCCAGGGTGCTCGCTCTGCCTCATGACCGTCCACAGCGCCACGAAGATGCCGAGACCGATAGTCATGCCGAGGACCAGCGTGAACGTGAACAGGCAGATGTAGAAGCTGTAGTCTGGCATAGTCGGCGCAGGCGTAGGCTGTCCTTTGACCTTGCCGAGGCAGGTGAACAAGACTGAGGCGAGCATGGCAGCGCGTGGCTGCCGGGTCCCATATGCGTGTTTGTGGGCCCCGAAGAGCGACAGGAGGACGCCAGCCTCCATCGACGTCGTCAAGGCGTCCGCGACCATGGCCCAGGTCGGGATCCAGCTGAGCTTGAGTGCACTGTCGGGGTGCACGGCCTCCTCGATCATTGAGGCGACGATGCGGAACCGCTTGTCGGTAGACTGGCCCACATCTGGAGCCATGTGCGTCACCAGACCCTTGCTGTCGCTGTAGATCTCTCCCCAGGGCGCTTGTCGGCGAGCACGTCGATATGCTTGAGCGCCGTCTTGGGATTGTAGGCCTCGGTCAGCAGCTGTCGGATCCACGTGTTGGTCTCCGACCCCATCGAGGGTAGCGTATCCCTCGGCAGCGAGGGTCGACTTCACCGATCTCTTGACTGCGCTAGAGTGCCAGGCGACGGGCAGGCACAGGACGTAGCGGCCGCCGACGACGTCACGCGGACGATGGGTGGGCCCCATCACCATGCCCCGCTGGCTCTTGACGCCGTCCACGTTGGCGAACGAGGCGTCGCTGAAGCACGCGGCGACGGCCGCCTTCAGGTCGACGAGCTTGCGCTTGGGCACGATCGCGAAGTTCGCGGTGGAGTGCACATATGCGACTGTCTTGTTGAGCGTCTTCGCGTCGGCCACGGTAGCGACGTTGGTGCGTCGAGCTGCGAAGCTCACCGGGCAGGCGATGTCCACCCGGGTCTGCACTGCTAGCCACAACAACTGCCCGAGCGTGTGGCGGTAGCTCGTCACCTCGGTGGCGGTGAGCCGGTCCTCATCACCTCGGTCCTTCTGGGCCTGACCTGTGCGGAAGCGGTGGCCTGGGTCACGCGGAACACGTCGTCGAGCTTGGTAATCGTACGTCCGCAGTACTTGATGACCCCTTCGACTGGCTTGAGGTGTAGCTTCTTCCCCAGCGATGCGATAGTGGTCTTCCACTTGGTGGAGTTGTTGCGCTGGGCGATAAGGAAGTCGCCCACGTGTGAGTGGACCACCGCGGCGAGCCCACCTTCGTCGTAGAAGTAGTAGAGGCCCTTCTCGAGCTTGCTCTCCACAAGACCGTGCTCGGCGAAGACCTTCTGCGCGTAGACGTACCACTGCCTCCCGGCGTCGCGCGCCCCGTAGAACGCGTCTGTGGCCATCGCGATCTCGCCGGGCTGAGTCCCCGGCGGCGGGTTCTTGGCCGGCATGCGCAGGAGTAGTAGCCTCTCGATGTTACCCGACTGCAGGTAGGCCGTCATCGCGTCGTAAGACGAGGCATCCCAGTCCTTCCGGGCCGCGGCGGCCAGGGTCAGGTACAGCGCGCCCCTGGACCCTGCAGGCGCGTCCGCCCTGATCTGCGACTTGTCCTCCTAGCAACCCTGCGCAACCTGGCGCGCCTTCATGATGTTCTGGCCCTTGCTGGTCAGCGCCCAGCGTGCGCCCGCGGGGCGGATGCCAGGGTTGCGCCGCAGGAGCTCCTTCAGCTCCTTGGGCGGGAGCATCTTGTAGGCGCCAAACTCCGTCCACTTGGACCACTCGGCCTTCGTGGCGGCGCCCATGTTCTTCTTTTCGGTGGCGCGCAGCGCGTCGTACTTGAGCTCCTTGGCGGTCGCGTTGCCCGCGAGAAGTGCCTCGCGGAGTCGTGTGCGTGCGTAGAGCTCGTCCGCGTGCTGCTTCTGGAAGTAGTTGTCTAGGTAGAGGTCGACCTTGTTCGTGTCCTTCGGCCTCTTGAAACACTTGGCCAGATCGTCCGAGAGACCCTTGTGCTTGGCAGCGCGCTCGCGGGGGTCGAGCTCGCGCTGGCGGTCGCGTTGCAGTGCCACTGGTGCGCTCTCCTGTTGGACTTGGCGCTGCGTCTTGGTGCCGTGCTGGTTCTCGGTGTCCGGCGGGCGTCGCGACATCGTCTCCCGGCACGCCTGCTCCTCCGCAATCTTGGCCCATTTTCGAACCATGTCCGAGCCATCGGACTCGATATCGTCGTCGACCGGGCCCTGAGAGGCAGGTTCAGGAAGTCGAAAATCTGCGGCAGCAGCGGCGGAAGTGGCTGCAGGAGCGGCAGCATCGTATGAGTCTGAGGCTGGCGCAGGCGGGTCGGCGGCCGCTGGTGGCGGCGGCGGCTCCGCTGGCGGTGGCAGCGGCGGAGGCTGCTGCACGTCTCCTCCCGAAGGCGGTGGGGCCGGTCCTCCACTGCCGCTGGCTCCTCCACTGGTTGTGAAATCGCCGTCTCCTTGGCGGCGTGCGAGCCATTCGGCGTACTTGTGAGCGCGCTGTTTCGCTTCGGAGTGCTCGATGTTGCCGAAGTTGTGTTGCTGGATGGCTGGCTGCTGATCGGGTGCTGGTAGCGCTGGTGGTGCGGGGGGCTGACTGTCCCTGCGGGGGCGCTTCCTCGGTGTCGGCCCCGTCAGGTCGAGGAACATGTCGTCGTCAGCGTCTGGCGGTGCCGGTCCAGCAGGGCCTCCTTCTGCATCAGGACCTGGCGGCGGGGCTCCGCCGCCTGCGCCACGGCCGCCTCCTCGAGAACCTGGGGGAGGTGTGGGCCTGGAGGTCCCTGGCGGGGCGCCTGGTGGAGGTCCAGGCGGCCGGTTGCTGTTCAGCGCGTTCAGCACTTGTCCCCACGGAACGAGTTCCGTCTCCGCGGTGTGGCGTAGGTGTCCACGGTTGACCTTCACGGTCGTGGAGCGGTGGCTGACCCGCACGTTCGACGCGCCTCGAACCCGATGGTGACGGCGGGCCCGTGCCACTGCAAGGCCCATTCTCTCTTGGGCTTGCCGTTGCCCCTCCAGTAATACACCTGGTCGCCCGTCTGGTAGACGCCGCTGGCGTGCTGAGCTCCATCTGCCCGAGATCGGGCCAGCAGCGCCCTTGTGAGGGACTGGTTGAATTTCAGGTGCTGCGTGGAGGTCTGCGCGGCCTTCATGATGGCGATCCTCTCCGAGAGCGGCTTGTCGGACACGGTGCGCTCGCGCAGGGACAACCTGCCGGCGTTGTCCAGCAAGACATACGGGAGGCGAAGGCCTCGCCCGAGCACCCACTGCGACGGCGAGTAGCCCGTGGAGTTGACCTGGCTATTCATGGCCTAGCACAAGGAGGCGATCACCCACTGGATTTTGTGAGCGGCTGCGGACTGGTCGAAACTGATGCTGAACTGGTCGATCAGCTTCCTCGCGTGCACCTTCCACATCCCTCCATTTCGTTCCACGGTAGCATTCTGCCCGCATCGCTTTGGCCCCTCTTGGGGACAAAAACGTCTGCGCGCGGATTTTTGTGCAAAGTGCGCCCGTTTGGGGAGGGGTTCGAAGTATGCACCACATCGTGCGGTCGGCCAAGGAGCTCGGTGTATAGACGCCCCAACATCCCAACCTGTGGGATGCTGAGGCGTCCATGCACCGCAATATTTCGCTTAATTTTTGAGGTTCCTTGTCCAACCAAAGCACGCGCAGGAACGAACGACCGACCACCACTGCGGACCAGCGTCTGGGCCTAGCATGGACCTGGTGAATGAGGCCGTGACCTCTGGATTCTGGCGTGTCTGGACACACGCAACGCGAGACGTATTCAGAGTTAGGAGGAGGAGAAGAAGGAGGAGAAGGAGGAGAAGGAGAAGGAGGAGAAGGAGGAGGAGGAGAGAGGAGGAGAGAGGAGGAGAGAGGCAGACACAAGGGAATGCGGAGGATGAGGAGGCGGAAGAGGAGGAACATACCTCGAGACTCGAGACCCTCCGACGTGTGCCGGGTGGCCGCAAGCATACCTGCAGCTTTTTTGCCGCGGGAGAGCCAGTCGCCACCCTCGCAGCTCGATCGGCGGGGCGGAGGAGCCGCCTCGGGCGGCGGGCGGGCGGGGACGGATGAGAAAGCTATCATACAAGGTCGACCAGCGCACGACCCTGAAGAAGAAGACGACAAATGGCGGATTCCGGATACCCTGCATCCCCCAAAACGTGTTCATCTCTTGTCTGCGCATCTTTTCCCGGAAAGGGCCTGGGCCCAGGGTTCTCTTTTAGTAGGTTTACCCCCGGTTTTTACTTGAAGGGGGCCGGCGAATTTCTTGCGCGATAAATTACGAAGTCGAAGGGGGCCGCGAATTAAAATTGTGAGGACGAAGGCCATCTTTCGCCACCCCTCACGCAGATCGTGCTCTTGGAATTTTACTGCCTTTAAGGAAACCTCGATATTTCACAGGTGAAGCCCACTTTTTTCCGACATCGACTTTAAACGATAAAAAACGAGGTAAACGCGTTCGCTCGATAAATAACGAGGTACCGCGGCCTCCAGAACGGCGCTGGGAACGGAGTTTTGGATTCTTGAAGTTGCATGAGTTCGGAAATAGCAGAAATCCCTTGTGTTTTTGGACCCTGACCCCGCGGATCTGCGTGAGGGGTGGCACCGGATTTCAGAAATGTGGCACATCCCCTGTGTTTTTGGACCCTGACCCCGCGGATCTGCGTGAGGGGTGGCACCGAATTTCAGACATGTTGCAAATCCCCTGTGTTTTTCGACCCTGACCCCGCGGATCTGCGTGAGGGGTGGCACCGAATTTCAGAAATGTGGCAAATCCCTTGTGTTTTTGGACCCTGACCCCGCCGACCTGCGTGAGGGGTGGCACCGAATTTCAGAAATGTAGCAAGTCCCATGTGTTTTCGGACTTTGACTTCGCCCAGGAGGGCCCAGGAGGCTCCAGGAGAGCCCAGGAGAGCCCAGGAAGGCCCAGGAGAGCCCAGGAGGGCCCAGGAGGACCCAAGAGGCTCCAAGAGGCACCAGGGGGCCCAAGGAGGGCCTCCGAAAAACCCGGGGATCACGATCACAAAACCCGGAAATCTCGATTTCCGGGTTTTCCTGGGGAGACCTTCGGCCTCCCCTTCCAGAAACCCGGAAATCTGGATTTCCGGGTTTCTGGAAGGGGGAAGGAAGAGGAGGAAGGAAGAGAAGGAAGAGAAGGAAGAGAAGGAAGAGAAGGAAGAGAAGGAAGAGAAGGAAGAGAAGGAAGAGGAGGAAGAGGAGGAAGAGGAGGAAGAGGAGGGGGAGGAGGAGGAGACGCGAGGAGGAGGAGACGCGGAGGAGGAGGAGACGCGAGGAGGAGGAGACGCGAGGAGGAGGAGACGCGAGGAGGAGGAGACGGGAGGAGGAGGAGACGCGAGGAGGAGGAGACGGGAGGAGGAGGAGACGCGAGGAGGAGGAGACGGGAGGAGGAGGAGACGCGAGGAGGAGGAGACGCGAGGAGGAGGAGACGCGAGGAGGAGGAGACGCGAGGAGGAGGAGACGGGAGGAGGAGGAGACACTGATAATGATGATGACGATAATGACAACGATAACGATGATGACGATGACGAGGGCGATGATGATGCTGATGATGGTGATGATGGCGATGACGATGACCACCAATCACGACAACTAGGGCGACGACGTCGACAACGATTGCGGCGGCGTCGAAGATGATCTGTTCGGGTGTTCTTAAGGCCGACGACGCCCACGACGACGGCGACGGCGACCACGACGACGATGATGCTGATACTGCTGATGAAAATGCTCATGATTGTGGTTGTGATGGTGATGATGGTGATGATGATGATGACCATGACGATGCTGGCGATGATGATGATGCTGATGCTGGTGATGATGATGATCATGATGATGATGATGATGATGACGACGACGATGATGATAGTGATGATGATGACGACGATGGTGATGATGATGCTGATGAAGACGATGCCGATGATGGTGATGACGATGATGATGATGATGATGATGATGATGATGATGATGATGATGATGATGATGATGATGATGATGATGATGACGACGACTGGAGGGGGGAGGACGAAAAGGACAAGGAAAACGGGAAGAGGGTGCGCCTGAGGGGCGCGCGCGGGAACCCGGAAATCTGGATTTCCGGGTTTTTGCAAGGGGTCCCGCACGAGAATCGGAAATCTGGCGAGGAGGAGGGGGAGGAGGAGGAGGAGAACCACGCAGGAGGAAGAGCAGGGCAGGGAAAGGAAAGGGTGGACGAGGAGGACGAGGGGGGAGAGGAAAACGAGAAACGAGCGCGCCTGAGGGGGGGGCGCGGGAACCCGGAAATCTGGATTTCCGGGTTTTTGCAAGGGGTTCCGCCCGAGAGCCCGGAAATCCAGATTTCTGGGTTCCTGTGATCCGGATTCCCGGGGGAACCCCCGGCCCAGGGGAAGCTCCAGGAGGCTCCAGGAGAGCCCAGGAGGGCCCAAGAGGTCCAAGGAAGACCCAGGAGGGCCCAGGAGCCCTTACGAGGGATCGTGGCCCTGGGAGCGCTGACGTAGCGTAATTTACGAGGGATCGTGGCCCTGGGAGCGCGGGTGTAGTGTAATTTTCATAAATTGTTGAGGATGTCTCGAGCGAAACGCTGGTTTTGCAAAATTTGCGGATGTCTCGAGCGGGGGCTTCGTGGGGTGCCAGAATTCAGAGGATGTCTCAAGCGAAATGCTTGTTTTCGTGTCCCGCTCGCAGGAATTCCAAGGATGTCTCGCGCGTGCCGCGTCCCGCGCGCAGGATTTTTGAGGATGTCTAAACTAATTCGTTGGTTTTGCCAGGATTTCTTAGAATTTTGGCAGGATGTCTCCAGCGAAACGCGTGTTGTTCATAATTTGTTGAGGATGTCTCGAGCGAAACGCTGGTTTTTACAAAATTGGGGGATGTCTCGAGCGGGGGCCTGTGGAGGGCTAGAATTCACAGGATGGCTCAGGCGAACTGCTTGTTTTCACGTCCCGCTCGCAAGAATTCCGAGGATGTCTCGCGCGTGCCGCGTCCCGCGCGCAGGAATTCTGAGGATTTTGAAAGGATGTCTCGAGCGAAACGCTTGTCCCCAGCACGTTCCGTAGCGTCCTCTTGGCACGTCCCGCGGTGCGTCCCCATGGCACGTCCCTTGGCACGTCGCTTGGCGCGTCCCTTGAGACGTTCCACGTCGCGTCCTCCTGGCATGTCCCCCTGCCAATTAGCTCTGGGGCAGCTACTATGTGTTCAGGCAGCTCGAGCTTCAGATCCAAATCAGTTCGGTCAGGACTCGGATGCAAAGGAGGACTCGATCCACGAGGCTATAGAGCACAATCGCGCCATAGCAAATCGAAATCCAGCACGGCGCAGCACAGCACAGATTCCGGCACGGTACATCAAGATCGATACCTTCAGCATTGCAACTTGGCACGTTCCTTGGCAAGTTCCGTGGGGCGTCCCTTGGCGAGTCCCCCTGGCACGTCGCGTGGCGCGTCCCCTGGCACATCCCGTGGCACATCCATTGGCACGTTCCGTAGCGCGTCCCCTTGGCACGTCCCGCGGTGCGACCCCATGGCACGTCCCCTGGCACGTCGCCTGGCGCATCCCTTGGGACGTTTCGCGGCGCGTCCTCCTGGCATGCCCCCTGTCCATTAGCTCTGGGGCAGCTACCATGTGTTCAGGCAGCTCGAGCTTAAGATCCAGATCAGTTCGGTCAGGACTCGGATGCAAAGGAGGACTCGATCCACGAGGCTATAGAGCACAATCGCGCCATGGCACATCGCAATTCAGCACGGCGCAGCACAGCACAGATTTCGGCACGGTACATCAAGATCGATACCTTCAGCATTGCATTTGCCCGTCACCCAATCAGGTGTCTTTGAAAACGCTGCCATGTGTTACAGTTCTATATTCCTTTCCGGGTTCGTGGGTCGATCATGTTTCCTCCGCCGCCTTCCGCTGGCCATCCGCCGGCTTCCGTCGGCGGAGACGGCCTCGTTGTACTTCCGCTGGCCTTCCGCCGCCTTCCGCCGCGGAAGGAATGGCAACAACTTCGACTCTCGAAGGCCAGGGCTTATTTTAGAGCGCCCCAAGTCAGAATCGCCGTAAGCATGCGGTCGGGAACTTGTGGATAGCGTGTCGCCACGACGGCCCCGACGACACGCTATGCCTTGCGAGCGGATAGCGTGTAGCGCCGCTCCGCAGGACGGAAGGCTCGGAAAAAGCACTGGAAATTGACGCTTGGGGGCCGGCAAATGGACAGCGTGTCGCACCGAGGCGCGGTGGGCCAGAACCGGCGGAGCGACACGCTACCCAAAAGCTCCCGATGCTATCATAAAACAGCGACCAGCGTACGGCTCAGAAGAATGAGGATGGCAATAGGCATACATATTCAGAGGTCCGCGCGGATACGTATCTTGGATCGGCGCTGAACCCCCCTCCCTGGCGCGGAGCGCGCCAGGGGCGGCGCCAAAGGCGCCGCCAGGGGGGGGCCCAGCGCCGTCTTGAGAAGTCCGCGAGGAGCTCCGAATCGACCTCACCGTGCGAGTGGATTGCAGGTCCGCGCGGACGTCTTGGCTCGGCGCTGGGCCCCCCTCCCTGGCGCGCGGGGCGCGCCAGGGGCGGCGGCAGGAGGCACTGCCAGGGGACTCAGGCGCCGATCCACGAAATCCGCGCGGATCTCCAGAAGATTCTGCTCATGTGGTTCTTGCTGCTCTGATCGGCGCCAGGCCAGGACGCCGACAGCGGGAGGGGGATTGAGGTTGAGGAAGAAGCCCCCTTCTACTTCTGCTTCTCGCTCCTCTCCTCCTTCTCTTCCTCCTCCTCCTCCTCCTCCGCCATTCTTGTTCCTTATGCATGACTCCTCCCCGTCGCACCCCGAGGCCGGTCGAAAAGGCGGGCAGGGCGTTTCGGCTGAGACTTCCTCACCCCATTTCTGACCCTGAAGCTTAAACATTGGCAACAGCTTCACAGATCAAGGGCGGGCCGCTTCCAACATGTGGCTCTCGATATAGCGCCGCGCACACTCGTCTGAACAAGTTACGAGAGTTTCTCGGATTGAAGGCGGGGCGTCTTCAACATGCGGCTCTCGCCTTAGCGCCGCGTGCTTTCGTTTTAAACCAGTGTAAGAATTTCACTGATTGACGGCGGTTTCTTTTCAACATGTGGCTCTCGCTGTTGCGCCACGCACATTCGTTCAAACAGATTATGAGGGCTTCACGGATTCGCATGGTTAACATACCAGAAATAGCGTCTAGAGCGATTCACGATTGTCACGGCGCAACAGTTACGTTGATTCGCGGTGTTGAAGTCCCCAGAACGGCGTTCTGGCACGATTCAGAATCGTCAAGACGCAAAAGGCAAGTTGATTCGTGGCGTTGGAGTCCCGAGAATGCTGTTCTGGCACGCTTCAGGATCTTCAAGCGGTTGTCTCCCAACAGCGCAATTCCCACAATGGAAATGAACCCTTGCAGGGGCCTGTGAAGAGGGAGCTTAGAGGGAGGGTCTTTTCTGACATCGTTGATGAATCTTGGGTTTTCACTGGTCATCTTCATTTTCTTCTTCCTCCTCCTCCTCCTCATCCTCCTCGTCCCTCTACCTCAGTCGCTTTCGGTCAAGCTCAGATCATTGGCGTCGTCGGCCGCCCCCCCCCCCCCGTCTCCTCCCCCTCGTTCGCCACTCCCCTCCCCGCCCCGCGGCCGCGATGTCCACTCCGTGCCGAGGCGGGCGACGGAGGCGCCCGCCCGTCCTGCCTGGGCGGCCGCTGGTCGCTCGCTGCCCGCTGTGTGGGGGTCTCGACGACGATGCTGGGTGGCGCCGCTGCGTGATCGCGGCGGACCCCTGCGGGCCCGCCCCGCGCCTGCCCCGCGCCCGCCTGGCGCCCTGGGGTGCTGCGCCTGGGGCCGCGGCGCGGCGCGCAGGGCCGCGGGCCCGCCGCCGCCTGCCGCGCCTTGCTCGTGCCCGCTCGCCCGCTGGGCTGCCGTACTGGGCTCCGGCGCGCTCCCGCGCGGGCGCTCGCGGCTGCTCCGGCCGCCTCTCTGTCGAGCCCGACCGTCCCTCCGCTGTGCCGGAAGCGTGAGGCTCCGCCCGAGCGGCGAGGAGGGCGCGCCGTGGCGCTCGGCGCGAAGGGGCGCGGCCTGCTGGGGGTTCCGCCGGCGCAGCAGCCGCGCGACGCGGCCGCCGAGGGCACCGAGGGGGGCGTGCGGCGCGCGCCTCTGCCCTCGTGTTTGGAGGGCTCGCCGAGCCCATGCTGATCCTCGGCCGCATCGAGGACACGGTTGGGGGGTCCTGGGGTGGCCAGGGCCACCCAGGCCCCCCGCTGACAGACTGTTGCGCCGATGCTTGGGCTTGTCAGCCCCGCATCGCAGGGGGAGGAAAACCTCCTCCTGCTTCGCCTTCTTCTGCCCCCACCTTGCCTGCGTATACTATCCCCCATGCTCATCCACGTCGTCGTCGTCGTCCTAATCCTCCGCCCCCGTTCCTCTTCTTCCTTCTCCGCCTCTCCTCCACCACCTCCTCCTCCTCCTCCGTCTCCTCCTCCTCCTCCTCCTCCTCCTCCTCCTCCTCCTCCTCCTCCTCTTTTCTACTGCCCACCGCCCCCTCTCGCTCCACTTCCCCTCTTCCACCCTCTCGCTCACCCTCCTCCTCCTCCTCCTCCTCCTCCTCCTCCTCCTCCTCCTCCGCCTCCTCGCTCTCCTTCTCTTCGTTCCTCTCTCCTGCTCTCCCCCCCATCCGCCCAGAGAAGGAGGAGGGATGACGGCCTCCTACTCACGGCGCGGGCTGGACATAGACCCACGCTGCGGCGGCCCCGCGGCGAAGGATACCCTCGGGCCTCTCCGACCGGCCACAGCTGGGGGAGCTGGGTTCCTCACGAGAAGGAGGACACACTGCACAAACAGAAACTTCGGATAGCCCGCGCGGGACTTCACAAGTTTGTGTGTTGTGTTGCTTTCTCTTTGACTTACCACCCCCGTAGGGGACCCCATCGCATCGAATGACTTTTTCCTAGACTCAACGCTGGTGTACAGTGCGCAGTGTGCTGCCAGCACGGCCCTCTGTGGGGCCTCTGAGGCAAATGGCCACGGAGGTGGGGAAGCGTTGCTGCAAACCCACCTCCTCTCCCGCCAATGCTGAGCTGTGTGCGCAGCTATCTTGCCAGAAACGGGATCCAGACCGACTTCCACAGGCTGCTCGACTCTATCGCTCGATGCTCGGAGCCTCGCGAGGGGCGTCGACCCCGATGGGCCTCCCAGGGGAGGGGGGGGCGGGGGCCCCCGCTGCTCCCCGCTGTGGCTGGCCTGCCTCTGCCCGCGACGCCGCCCTGCGGCGAGGCGGCAGCGACGGCGGTGCCCCGCCGGCCGGAGGGCGAGCCGTCGGTCCTGCCCGGGCTGCCTGCGGCGGGCCGCGAGCGCAAGCGCGACCCACGCCCGCGAGCGAGGGTTTTGCCTTTGCGAGAGGCAACTGCTAGGCGAACTCCAGCGCCGATGGCATAGGGACTCAGCGGACAGGAAGAGAGGGACCTCAAATAGGGTCGAGAAACCCTGGCTGTGGACCCCACTCCTTGGTCTCCCCTACGGGGAGGCAACATCTTCCCATATCTCATAATGGTAGTGTGCTGGGCTTCCGTGAGAGAGAAGCAGGGAGCGGAGGGCCGAGACGAAGCCAGTCGGCTACACGCAGGAACGACCCGGGGCAAGAGTAGCCTCTGGTGCGCGGCCGTAGTCGGAGAGGCGTCTGGCTCGGCTTCGAGGGACTCGGGCTGTCTTGACGCTGCCGTCGAGACAATGGCGAGACCCAATCTGAAATTTGGCGCGAGATCCAGCCGCGAACATCCTACGGAAACTGGACCGTAAAAATTGAGGACGGACCCGCCGACAAGCATCGGCGAGAACCCGAGTTCTGGCGAGCTCGAGCATTCACTGCGTTTCCCTGATATTAGGGGGTCGGAGGCGGCCCTGGGCAAGAGTGACTTGTGGTGTGCGGCTATAGTTGGCGACGCGCGCAAAGGGGTGGAGGTATGGGGGAGGGTTTCTTAGAAGGAGGCTGCTTCTTAGAAGGTACTGGCCCTGTATGCCCCCGCCTTCTGAGAAGCAGGGGTGCTTCTAAGAAGCCCTCCCCTTCCCCCCCTCGCCGCGTGGCTGATATTATAAGGTACCGCGGGGGGGTAAATCCAACGCGTGCGACTCAGTGGCGGGACCCATGCGAGCCAGTGCAACCAGAACCTCCACGCCCGCGAGCGAAGGGAAATGAGCGGAGTGCGAAGACGAGTTGGGGATCCCCAAGCGGTGCGGTGACGACACCGTGTGGTGAGTCAGTGGGGGCTCGGGGTGGCTTTCGGTTTGGGGGCTTGGGCCTTTCTCCGAGGATGCCTCGGGCGATTGGGGCCTCCGAGGTCCCAGCACCGTAGGGTGACGGATAGTGCGGTGAGGTCTTCAAGGATTTCGAGATCACCGCACGGTCCGTCACTGCACGGTCCGTCACCGCACGGTCCGTCACCGCACGGTTCGTCACCGCACGGTCCGTCACCGCACGGTCTTGGCACCCTCGAGGCCCTACTCGTCCGAGACGTCCTCGGAGAACGACCTGGGTCCCAAATCCGTGCGGCCACCCCGAATCCCCACTGACTCACCACACGGTGTGGTCACCGCACCCTCTGGGGCCCCTGAGCTAAGACGAAACCAAGACCAGAACAACATCGGACCAGGACACATCGGGGAGTTCCGACATCTGGCGGCTCTGGAGGATGTATGTATCGGGCGCAATGGCCGCTCCAGAGCGCTCAACGGAACGCTCTGGCAGCGCTCTGGAACGATCTATCATGCTGGTCCTAAAGCCCTGCCCGAGGGTTATGTTGCTCCCATCTTACTTGAAAACCACATCCCAAAAATCATTTCGAGCACCCGGAAAAGTGTCGAAAGGGTGTCGAAAGAGTGTCGAAACAGTGTCGGACGAGTGTCTCCAAGGGCCCGACACGTGAAAGCCCTCGAGTTTCGGTAATGTGTTCGGAAGTCTTTCTGGTGCTCCAGGCTAACAGCAGGTTGGAACATCATAACCCGAAGGGCCACTCCCGCCACTCTGTGGGGGCATATGCTTCTGGGGCCCGGCACACCGGGTGGTGGGGCCCCTCCCGCCTCGCGCGCGTGCCCCCGCCCCTCGGTGGGGAGAGAAGATGGGGGAGGAGAATCACGGGGGGTGAGGGGGCAGAGATGGGGAACAACAAGATACCCGACGCCGCTGCTCCCCGGGCTTCTCTGGGGGTGCGCTCTGGCAAGGGTCTCGAGGCGAACACGGCCGCGGCGACCGGGGCACTCCAGGAAGAGCAGCGGCATGCGGTCGAGAACTGGTTGCTCAGCGTGTCGCGGCGGCAGGCCCATCGGCATGCTGTGCCCTGCCAGCGGATAGCGTGCCGCTCCGCTCCGCGGGGCGGAAGGCTGGGAATAACTAGATTTTTCTTGTGTGTATATATGTGAATCATTACTGTTACTGTTATTATCCGTATTATGATTATGATTATGATTCTCAGGATTATTACATTTATTATGAGGATGATGATTATTATTCTTGTACGCTATATATGATATTTGTTGGAAGGGATACCTCGAGGCGTTGACGCTTGGGGATTCTGACGTGGCCAGCGCGTCGCGCAGAAGCGCGGTGGGCCACGACGGGCGGCACGACACGCTGAGCAAAACCTCGCAACCTAGGGAACCCACAGAGGACGTACGCGCCAAGCCATGCACACGAATACGGCACCTCGGTCCGCGAGACTGGCCGCGTGATACGAACATTCTGGGACGCACAGGGACATACTAATACTACACGTCCTCCTTGGAGGCGCGCGTCCGACCCAAACATATGGTATACCCATCTTGTCGTAGATCGTTTCCCGAGCGGTGTGGCCAGAAAACATACTATAAGATTTCTCGGTGTGATGAGATAGTATGTCGATGGACAAGATATCTCTTTTCCATCTTGAGCCAAAATGGGTGCACGGAGGAGGGTGTCAGAATCACTCCTCCTCGGGCCTGGCCGCCAACCCGGCCAGGCACGACCTACGTCGTACGCGGGCGCGCCCAAGCCGACGCGCCCATCTCATCAGCTAGGCTGCGGCCATGCCGCGAGCCCCTCACTCCGTCCGGCGCGATCATACCGCCGCCGGCGGAACCTCATCCAGCCCCACAGGTAGCGGAGCATGGATTCGATCCACTCCATCACTTGAAGTCCTTCTGAGTCAAACTCGGTGTCCGATCCCAGATGTTGAGCGTCGCCATGTGTCTCCTCAAAAGGGAGCCACCCACGCTCTTGGTCAGCACGTCCGCGACATTGTTCTTACCAGGAACCGCGGCGATCGAGAGGTCGCCCTTACCCACGCGCTCCTGGATCCACAAGTATCGTGATTGAACATGTCGCATCTTCCCGAGACCCCGCCGTTGGACGTGGCCCCGGGCCGCCGATGAATCCGAGGCGAGCTCTACCTTCAGGTCTAGCCCCCAGTCCGCGAAGAGGCTGTGAAGGCCCAGGCCCACGCTCCCGCCCTTCACCAGGGCGTAGTACTCGCTCTCTCCGCTGCTCAAAGAAACCGTCGACTGCAGATTACTGCCATGCTTGACGACATGATGCCCCAGCATCGCCACGAAGCCTCCGGTGCTCTTCCGGGTGACTGCGCAGCCCGCATGATCGGAGTCCACGTACACCCGGATCTTGTCGAACATCTTCTGCTCCGTGAAAACCGTCACCGTGCTAGGATGCCGCTTGAGGTAGCGGCCAACCCTCTTGAGCATGAGCCAACTCGCCTCCGTTGGCGTCTGCATGGACCTAGCGAGCGTCTTTGATGCCTCTGCCAAGTCCAGCCTGTCCTGAGACAGGTAGGCCACCCTCATGGTGAGGGATCGGAAGCGCGAAGCTTCCGCTGCTCCCAACGCCGCCGACTTCGCATCCATCATCTGCTTGTCGGCGCTGCGCTTCTCCATCGGCGTGTCCACGCCGTTGGCCTTGCTGAGACCCAACTCGTCGATCACGATCTCCGCGTGCCGCTTGTCCGGCTCGATCATCGCATGCCGGCAGGGCCGGCCACCGCCAGGCGGAACTCCCGCACTGACCTCGATGACCCGATTCAGGAAGACCGCCTGCTTGTCATCGCCCTCGTCGAAGCCTAGGTTCGCAGTCTTCTTGAACTCGTACTTCTTGCCCAGCGTGGCCTCGAAGCTGTCGATGTCCTGCTGCTGAGCCAGCACCGCGAAGTCGTCGCCGTGCCCCAGCAGCCTCGTCTCGTCCACCTCCTTGTAGAAGACCGCTGGGCACGACACGCCCGCCTTGTAGCCGTGTTCCTCCAGCAGCTCCGTGTAGTCGCCCTGCCAGATCTTGCTGGCGTCCTGCGTGCCGTACCAGGACTTGAGGAGTAGGCCGCACTTGTCCTCGCCGTACTCCTTGCGACTCTCCTCCTCCAGCTCCACGAAGATCCTCCGCTGCGCCTTCCCGTAGAAGTGCGCCCTGCTGATGTCGAAGAAGCCGATCTTGAAGTTGCCCGGCTTCCTGCCCTTCTTGCGAAGCGACTCCTGAATGTGGAGCGGTGCTTCCCGCGTCCACGTGACCATCAGCGAGACCAGCGACCGCATGGCCTCCAGAGGGGGCATGGCCGAGAAGACCTCGGACGCCTCCAGCTGCTCGTCGGGGCGCTTCTTCGCCTTGATCTCCTTCACGACGAGCCTGCTCCTGTAGTTGGGCCTCTCCGCGTCACCCTTGTTCGTGTCGACCCACTTGAGTGGGATGGGCGGACGCCCAGTCTCGGCGAAAGCCTGAGACCTCGGGACGATCTCGATCAGCTCCTGCTTCTTGACCCACTCGCGCTCGACCGCGCGAGCCTGGGCCACAAGGCCCGCCTCCAGGTAGCCGCCATTGACGTCGTCCCAGTAACTCGTCCAGTCCCCGGGCGGCACTGCCGCGTCCACAGGGACTGGGCCCGACTGCTGCACCTGGGCGGTGCTGAGCTCTCCCACGTCATCCAGCGTGTCCTTGAGCTCCTCCAGCACCGCCTCTACCAACTTCGGTGGATAGACCTTCGCGAACCGCGCGATGCCGCCCACGAGCATGATGTGGCGATGCCATTCCGCGCGGCCGTCCACATTGCTGCAAGTGCCCTGCAGCCTCCGGGCTAAGCCTGGATGGTTGGTGACCCATCCGGTCTCCTTGCGCACGAACTCCTCCCGACCACTGCGTGGGTTCGTGAGCTTCATGCCCCACCGACACATGGGGCCTTTGACCGTGAAGACTCCTGGATGCGCGACCAGCTCCTTGACGATGTCCTCCTTCCACGATCGCGCGCTCCAGGGATGCTCATGCAGGAAGTACCTGCCTGGCTTCCTGAGCTGACGCCAGTAGGCGTCGACTGCCAC